AAAAATAGATTTTTCATATGTTTTACTATGTGATCGACAAAAATTACGTAGACTTTTGTCCAGTGAGTGTATATATCCCTCGGTTCTTTACCTTTGGTCCTCCACCTTCCTTTACTTGAATAAGGCCTGGATGGCCTTTTGCACAATTGTACATTCTCTGTAAAAAAGCAACACGATCATTCACCTCTCCCTCATGTGGAAGATGTTCTAGTGGGACCATTTTCTCTACTGAGTCCTCAAAAAATGTAATAGTGGATTTTGCTAATTTCAATCGTTTCCCAATAGGAACGATTGTCCTTGGAATTGTACTACTCACAGTCCTTATTATGCGTGCAATATTAACAACCATACAAAGGATGGAAACACGGTCTCGGCTGTTTTTGATATTCAATCGATTCGAAAGCGGAACTAAACGATTCAGCAGATTTGCGTTGGGTGATCCATTGATTGCATAAAATCCCAAAAGTGGTCCTGCTACAGCATAACATATCATAAACTGCACGTTTCCAAAATACAAAGGATCAAACTTGTTGAATTTCTCTTTAAGTTCATCTACAGCAACTGGAAATTCATCAGCCTCAGCTTTTTCTTCGCCTTTAAACAAAAGTACACCATTCGCCCAACATAGAAAATCAGGTCTCTTATTGCCTATCGTCGTTGTTCCCTTATCCTTGCTGTTCCGATCCATTTCGATGGGGAGTGCCCCTTCGCCAAGACTCTCGCGAAAAATCTGGAGCGGCACCCTGATCAAACTATCTATTCCCCAGTGCATCATATCTTCCGTTGTGTCATCTAAGTTCTGCTTTTCAAATATGTCAGTAAGTAGACAGGAAATGTGTTTCGCCAGATTGCTTCCACATTCATTGTCGCTTGTTTGAATAAATTCAGCAAACTGAGGAAATTTTCTCTCTTCGTGAAAAGATACAGGCAGTTTTCGGATAAGTGGTGCAGCAATAAGAGATGTAAGGTCATTCACTTCACTTGGGACAGTATTGAATGGTTGAATGAGAACATCACAGATCAAGGCAGTCATATCAACTTGCATCTCATCGTAACTCCGTTTTGATGCTGCTTAACAAAAAAGTACAAGGTGATGTTACAGCACAATATAACCTCGCCACAAAAGCCAACGTGGCGGTGGCGTAGCAGTAATGTGAATAGTACGAAAGAACTTTGATAGGTTAGAAGCAGGAAACACAAGAAGAAGAGAGTATTTCGTATGATTGACGAATATGACAGTTCGAATTAAACCGGTTTATAAACGAAGAAACATATACCATTACAATGCCTACTCTACTCCAAGACACACTACTCTAGTTCCCAACGCCCGAGTCACAAAGTCGTTACCTGCTTCTGGTTTTATGAGATCCCGCAGATATCGGATCTTCGCATCGTCGTCCTCACAAGTTGGCAGAATAGTAACTGCCTTTCCCTCCTGAGTGGGATTTTTGGTAAAATATGTACGTAGGGCCGTTCTTTCGTCCCTTGTGAGGGCAAGCCGCGAAATTTCTGAATACAGTTCCATGAGGAGACAAGTATCGTTTGGAAGTTGTTTATGTGCTGCGAGAGTGATCTAATATATTAACGGCTTAAAATTAATGACGTATTACAGTCAACCTCCCCTACAGTCACCTCCTATATAGTCACACCTCCTATACAGTCACAGGCTGTTCCG